AGCGTATTAGAAAAAGTAAAATACTATAGAAATTAATCAAATAAACTCGGTTTAAAGTAGTACCTGTAGCAGTTCGGCTCGTGGTTCTGTATGCCCAGAGGATGTTGTTGAGCTCGTCTGCCCATTTGGCCTTATGCTGCTCCAATCTCGGCCTTATTCCTTCCAAAATGCATTTGTTAACAGATTCCACCATGCCATTGGACTCCAGATGGTAAACGGAGGTGAACTGCAACTTGATCCCATAACTGGAACATAAATCTCGGAATGAAGAGCAATTGAATTAAGTTCCATTATCAGCCACAATTTGATTCGGGATCCCATATCTGCAGATGATCGAGCTGAAAACAAAATCTTCGACCTTCTTGGAAGTAAGACTAGATAAAGGCCGAGCTTCAACCCATTTTGTGAAATAATCCACACCAACAACCAGATGGGTCACACCACCAACCCCTTTCACGAATGGACCCAAAAGATCTAGTCCCCACTGTGCAAATGGCCATGGTGCTACCAAGTTCGTGAGTTCTTCTGCAGGTTGGTGAGTCAGATGTGCAAAGAATTGGCACTTCGGACATTTCTGAACAAAGTGAATGGCATTCTTATACATGTTTGGCCAGTAATATCTCTGCCTTAAGACTTTGTGAGCCAGAGTTCTAGCACCGACGTGGCTCCTACAGACACCTTCATGTACCTCCCGAAGTGCATACTCGGCTTCATAAGGATTCAAGCATCGCAGAAGAGGAAGTGAAAAAGATCTCTTATAAAGGACCCCATCAACAAGTGTATATCGAGATGCTTTCTTCCTCAACTTCATTGCCTCTTGCCTTTCCTCAGGTACTATTCCATCTCGCAAAAAGGAGATAATTGAGTCAGTTCAGCTTGGTGTGTCAGGGTTTGTGCTAATCTCCATTATCCGAGGCTTCATGAAGCTTGGTTCATCTAAGACCTCCACAAAAACGGATCTGGAACTTAAAGAGCCATCAGAGGCGAACTTGGAGAGTAAATCTGCCTGTTCATTCTCAACTCGGGGAATTTTACTCAGACAGAATTTTTGGAATTTGCACTTCAGATCGGCCACCAAGGCAACGTACTTCACCATCACAGGATCAACAACTTCACAAATTGAGTTAATTTGGTTTACCACCAACTGGGTGTCACTGTATATTTGAATTGCACTAATTTTCAACTCCAATGCTAACTGTAGACCAAGTAACAGAGCTTCATATTCAACCACGTTATTTGTTGCATCGAAATTGAACTTCAGGGCATGTACGCTTCGGTATCCCTCTGGACCAATCAAGAGAGCGCCAGCCCCTGAACCCCTGCTACTAGATGCTCCGTCAACATATAAGGTCCACTCGTTGGACTCTGGATTAGAGGTTGAAGGACATGGAGTGCATTCGACAATAAAATTTGCTAATGCTTGAGCTCGGATGGCCGATCTTTGCTGAAACGTTATCTTAAACTCTCCCAGTTCTACTGCCCACTTAATTAATCTTCCAGAGCACTCTGGTTTCTGTAGAATCTGCTTGAGAGGTTGATCGGTGAGAACTATAATTGGGTGTGACTGGAAATATGGCCTCAACTTTCTGGCCGAAGTGACGACTACTAATGCTGCTTTCTCAGCTATAGGATACCTTAGTTCTGCTCCATGCAGCACGCTGCTGATATAATAAATTGGTTTCTGCTGCCTAGCTTCTTCTCTCACCATAACTAAACTAATGGCCTCATCTGAAATCCCCAAGTACAAGTAAAGAAGTTCTCCATCTACAGCCTTAGTCAATAGAGGCGGTGAGCTAAGATAAGACTTCAGCTCTTCAAATGCAGC